CAGAGAAGTGGAGCCAGTTGTTCTCAGAGATGGGCTGGGAAGGGCCAAGGGGCAACAGCCACCAGCTGCAGCAAGGGAAACTGTGAGTGGATAGGAGTGATCAATTATTCACAAGGAGGTTGGGTACGTAGTGGAGAAGGCAGGAAGCAGACAGTTGGACTACAGAACCTCCAGAGATTGCCTCCAAACCACAGGACTCTGTGACACTACCATGTCAGTGCTCTCCAGGGACAGGATTCTCTGTCACTGTGAGCCACTGTTCATCCCACACCCAGCATGCCCAAGCCAGGTCTTCCCTCTTCCTTCTTCCTCTGCAGGGATTGTTTTCAGCAACAACGAGCCGTGGTTACAAGTCCGGCGGTTTGCTCTCACCACTCTGCGGAACTTTGGAATGGGGAAGAGGAGCATCGAAGAGAGGATACAGGAGGAGTCTGACTACTTGCTGGAAGAGATAAACAAAACAAAGGGTATGGTCCATTTTTAATATATCTTCTGTTTGAAAAAAATTTACTGTATTAGGGGAGCTCATGTCTTTAGCAAAGAACTGAAGTTCCTATGGATTTGGTCCATGCATCAGATACCCCTCATTACAAAGGTGTAAATAATTTCATGATCATGTACTGTTCTCTTTGGAGGACCCTTCTGTGTCACTCAGAGACTGTCATCTGATATTTCCACTAACAACCAGAGTTCAGATTACCCACAGTAGCCATAAGTAGATATAGTTTTGTGAGTTTTTTTTATAGTCCGTAACTTTTCTGAAATCACAGGAACACCTTTTGACCCAACCTTCATGCTGAGCTGTTCTGTCTCCAATGTCATATGCTCCATCGTCTTTGGGAAACGATATGATTATAAAGACAAGAAGTTCCTGGCTCTGATGAACAACATGAACAACATCTTTGAGATTACGAACTCCCACTGGGGACAGGTACATTCAGTATCCATTTCACAGTGGCAACATTCTCCCAGAGGAGCAGGAGGTCTCCCTCCCAATGAAGTTCCATTTCAGTCTTCTAATTAGGAGCCCATCAATGCTCTGCTGCACAGAAGGGATTTCATTTGAAAGCAAGAAGCACCCTCACCAATGGAATTGGTTTTGCTAAGTGCAGCTTCCCATTAGTCCTGAACACCCTTCTTCTCCAACTCTAAGGTTCCTACTACTACTAAGCAAGCCCCTACAGCCCTGCCAGACTGCCCAGACTCATAGTCCTTCTGCTTGGCTCAGCTGACAGGGTTGTGGCTTTCCTTGGTTTTTTTCTTAATATCAAAGGGTGCGTTAATGGTCATACTAGCAGCCTTCCTATTTCTTTCCTTCTAGCTCTACCAGATGTTCTCAAAGATCATGGATTACTTGCCTGGCCCACACAACAAAATATTTGCAGAATTTGATGCTCTCAAAGCCTTTGTGGCAGAGGAGGTGAAGTTGCACCAAGCCTCCCTAGATCCCAACTCCCCTCAGGATTTCATCGACTGTTTCCTCAGCAAAATGCAGGAGGTAAGGAGACAGCATACAGCCCCAGCTCATCCCCAAACACACCTATGCTGAGTCTATTCCCTCTCATAAGTAACACAGACATTGGGATGACCCCTTCCCTGTCAGCTGTGCAATGGGAAGACATATCCCAGACATTGCCTGTGCTAGAGCTTATAGTTCTGGGTGTGCATGCTCCCCAGCCACCACTACCTGCAGCTGCTTGGACAGGGAGAGCTTCATCTGCTCTCACCAAAACACAGGACATTTTCACTCTAGTCTTGCACTTCTTTCACTGGAAAGCAGTTGGTATAGCAAGGGCAAACAAGCACTTGAGTACCATTCGATGGTCAGCTTGAAAGAAGGTTGATCAAGGCAGTTTGAGTTTACTGCTCATGGTAGCATTGCAGTGCCCCAGATGGTGCTGCACTTTAACACAAAAATGCAACAGCTCTAGGTGAAAAGGAAGGCCTGGGATGCCATGAGAAAGGGCCACGTTTCTCAGCTCAGCCAGAGAAACAACCCAGTCTTTTCCCTAGGAGAAAGATCGTCCTGATTCCAGTTTCCACCTGAAGAACCTGATAACGAGCACCTTTGACTTGTTTATTGCTGGAACTGAGACAACTAGCACCACCATACGATATGGGCTTCTGCTGCTTCTCAAATATCCAAAGATACAAGGTACCAGTTTGTGATCTCTTCCTTTCTAGCATTTTCCCTGGGCTGGGCACATGCCTAACACCACATCCTTCTCCCAACTTTTCCTCTCTCTCTCTCTCTCATATTTTACCCAAATGGACAAAGTCCTTACACTGTCATTCCTCGTGGTGGCCAATGGAGGCCCCTCAGCCCCACTGGCATCATCATCAGCTACAGTCCCTTCACAGCCTGGCACCTGACTGTGTCCACACCTTTATCTCCCAGTACTCCTGTTTAGCCAAGTCAATAGGAAAACTTTCTTTGCATGGGCAGCAGTGGAACTGTGTTCGAGGAACACCAAAACCACCATCAATGCCCCTGCCATCTGTGATTTGTAAACAGCTTAGGGCAACCTATTTATGTAGGTTTGGTTATATTTACCCATTTTATGGTTTGTGCCTCTCATGATAGAGAAAGTTCAAGAAGAGATTGACCAGGTAATAGGACGATCACGAAAACCGTGTGTGGCTGACCGGACCCGGATGCCCTACACAGATGCAGTGGTCCATGAAATCCAGCGCTTCATCTCTCTTATCCCCCTGGCTCTCCCTCACACTGTGACCAAAGACACCTCCTTCAGAGAGTACATCATTCCTAAGGTTAGTGGGCAAGCTCCCTTAAGTTCAACACGAGGTGCCAGCACATTTGCCCTTAGGCTGTTACAGCCAGAAGCCAGAACTGTTGTGGCTTGACCTTGTTTTCACCCAGACCGTCTTGAAGGTTTTATCTTCAGGCTTCTGTAGCTCATTTGCACTCCCTTGTTGACACTCCATGGGCCAAGACTA